GATCAAAGCCACAGCAGGACTGTTGTGTGTCTCCGAGCAACTCACAGCAGTGTTCCGTTACTGAATGAATCCACGTTTTTGAACGAATCGAGTGAGTCAATGATTCAGTGGCCATTCATAAGGACAGTAGCTTGCCTCATTTCTGAATGAATCAGCCTTTTGAATGAATCGGTTGAATGAATGAATAAATGACTCACTCACTAAAACAGACATTTGCTGCCACCTACTGGTGGTTTAGTCATATTTATCAAAACTCACGTTTGAATCGTCAGCGGCAAATCCTTTAAATATAAAAAACTTACTTACGGTCTGTGAGTCAGAACAGCCGGCATTGTAGGTCGACACATTTAATAAGATTAGGGGAAAAAATTACCATTTATAAACTGTCATGCGGAAATGACATGCGTTTTGTTACATACAGCAACTCATTTTAAGTTAACTATTTCTTCCTCTTTCCAGTCACAGAGCACTTTATTTTGAGAGTTGTTTAAGTGAGAGAAAATCTGTAACTTAGACTAGTCCAGATTGGGGGAACTGTTGGTCCTGGAGAGAGACAGCATCTCATTTCTGCAGTTTTGCTTTTTCTGACTACTTTTCAATGTGTTGTATTTTATATCATGGCAGTTTTTTGTATGTAGTTATATATGTATATAATTCTATTACTTAAATTATTTTTGCTTCATAGTGTGAGTTAACATTTGACAATTTTAAAGCGGATACAGTTTTAAAGTTTTAAAAAAGTTTTAACGTTTTTTTTTATTTTTTATCTGCATGGTTCACATGGTCTAATGTTGGAATTTTTGTTCTTCATGTTGGTTTGCCATTTTAATAAATGTTCAGTTTTTGTGTTCTAGTTCTTTAGTGACTTATTTATGAAATTCCACTTTATAAATGATCAAAAACCACAGCAAGAACTCAGAAGCATCTGCACAAATGAGAAATCTGTGCTTTATTCTGCAGTGAATGGCAGCATATCTAAAAGCAATAAAAGAGTCATTACTCTGAAAAGAAAACAAATCTACTATAAAAACTAAAAACATGAAAAAAAACAAAAAAAAAACAAATTAACCATAAAACCATAAGAAAACAAAAGAAAAACTTTCCTCTTTGTTTGTTAACAACAAAACGCAAAGAAAAACACAAAAGTAATTAACAATGTATGATATATGATAAAAACAAAAAATATAAAACGAATACAAATGATGAGCTGGGGGGGAACTAACAACGCGCACACACAAACACTGACCGGATGCGGATCCCTTTTTTTTTCTTTCTTTTTTTACATTTTCTGTTTTATTCATTAAAATACAACATTTGTTCTGAGCAGACTATCCAACAGTCTCGTCTTCTGCATGGCTTTTTTCTTTTTCGTTGTCTCCATGTGTCCATTGTGTGCTGTTGCAACATTGTTGGAGACATATATTTAGCCTCTTTCTCAAAAGTGTCAAATGAATCATGTAAGCTTGCCACATCACCCTTCAATGAACCAATAAATCATCAGCCTGAAGAGCAGTGCTTGTTCCCTGGAATCACTACGTGGAATAACACGATATTCTGCTGAGCATCATTTGATATGTTCTCAAGCGACTCCTGAATTTTGGCATAGTTCAGGTTCAAAGATTCGATTGCTTGTGCATGAGATGTCCATCTTGTGTCAGACAGACTTTTCAAACTCTCTATCTGCTGATTTTCATTTGGCTTTAGCTCTACTGTTATTATCTGCCATCGGGAAGGTGATTTTGATGCAAACGTAAAAAGCATCTGAACAAAAAAAACTTCCATCTCAAAACAGTAGTTTGCACTATTAACACCCAGAGTGTGCAGCACATGGTACGCCTGATCCTTTATTGGGTTTGTCTCGTTAATGCATGCTTGTAACCCTTTGTAAGAGCCAGACATGTTGGCCGCGTTGTCATAGCATTGACCTCTACAGTCTTTAATATCAGTTCCCATCTCTTCTAAAATAGCTAGTACTGTCGGGCAAAGTGACTCTGGATAGGCATTAACGTCAGAAAACGTTCCTTGATGCAGCCACTAAGTGTCACATAGCACATAATGAAAGTTGGTTGGTCGGTGTGAAACATCTGGAGTGGAATCGATGCGGATAGAAAAGCACTTCACTTCTTTGATCCGATGGATTATTTCAGCAAGCACTTGTTTACCCATTAGTTCAATAAATTCCAAACAAGTATTTGAGGAAAGATATGAAGGCATTCTTCGACCAGCATTGCCATGTCTTTCAACACATTCCTTCAGAAACGGATCAAACTCATTTATGGCTTCGAGTACCAATGAAATTCCCCACCAAACATTTCACTCTGTCCCCACTCTAAAAGTTTCACCGCAACAACCACTCTTCTCAAGACGCTGCTCCAGTATTCACATTCACTGTTAAACTGTAGTGTAAGTGCTGAATCTATTTGACAACTATCAGTATTTCTGTGGTGAACAAAATCAATCATGGCCTTCTAATGGCTATCTGAACTCTCATGTTCAGACAAGCTGCATTTTTCCAGTCATTAAAACCTTCTGTCAGCACAGAGTAATTATTGCTTTGTCCAAATAAGCAAAACAAAACACTCAAGGGAAAATATAACAGGCTTTCTGAACCTATTCTGGGCCCATTTTAGTCCAATATACCTGCATTTGTTCATGTATTTCACCCCAGTTGGCTGGATCAGAGCTGTACATTGAAGTCGATGGCCACTGTCTCAGTTCTGTCAGCTTGTTGAAGGGAAGCTGGTGAAATGGGTAATGGTTGGCTTTTCTGCTATAGTAGCAGCAGTAGATGCTGTGCTTGTGCTCAAATTAGCTGCAGTCGTTAGTGCTCCCTCGTCTCCACAGCCACACCACTGACTAGGTGATGATGATGATGATCCAGCAGCTGAGGCAGATTTGAAATATGTTGTTCATTTTGGAAACTTTTGCAGAAGATCTTTCTCGCTCCTCTTTAAGCCTTTGAACTTTACGTTTTTGTGCACCACTTAAATTTCTTTCCTGACATTTCTGATTTTTCTAACTTGTGTGTGGGTATGTTAACGAGGTTGCAACTGAAATTGACATAGGGAGGGGCGACCGGTGACGTTAAATTAATCAGTCATATATACACTCCTAAAAATAAAGGTGCTTAAAAGGTTCTTCACAGCGATGCCATAGAAGAACGTTTTTTGGTTCCACAAAGAACCATTCAGTCAAAGGTTCTTAAAAGAACCATCTCTTTCTTACCTTTTTATAATCTGAAGAATGTTCTTTCGCCACAAAGAAGCTTTTGTGAAACAGAAAGGTTCTTCAGATGTTAAAGGTTCTTTATGGAACCATTTAGACAAAAAATTTTCTTCTATGGCATCACTGTGAAGCACCTTTATTTTTAAGAGTGTACATTTCGACATGCACTCGTCAATTGCCTGTAAATTCAAAACCTCTCTCGAACACTAGTGATCATTAGTACTGTAGAAAATGAAATTACAGATTATTTAGAAATAATCCCCATCACGTAGGCTACAGCCGAGATTATCCTGTGCATTAATCCACCCCTGGTTAATGGCTATGGGCAAGGTCTGAAATAGACACCACAGTCTGGGCAGTGTGTTCATTTTAATGGAGTCAGTTCTTGAACTTAAACTGAAGGAAGGAATTCAGTTCAGTCATGCTATAGCTTCCTTACCCTTTTTAATTTATAGGTAACTAGTTGCATTCTGATAACTTGGCAAGGTCTTTTGGCATATTGATGCCCAGTTTGCCATGCCAAGGGATATTTTCTTTCAATCTCTTCTGTAGACTATAGTTATATGAAAGCAACTGGGTTTTACCTGTATTCATTTTATATCCTGATAGTTTGCATCAATATAGGTAAAGAATATGTAGGTTGCCCAAGGTAGGTCAAAATATCATCCGCGTAACAAACTAATTTCACAACAGTGAAAGAAAACATCCTGGAGAGTTATTTTGTGCCTCTCTGCAATGGGACCATGAGCCGCCGCATGTTTACTTCTGGAGGGATGTAGACGCTTAGGAGAGAGCGAAGCACCAATGACTTGAACGATGCGAGCCGCGACTGGTAGCCAGTGCAGAGAGATGAGAAGCGGTGTGACATGGGCTCTCTTGGGCTCAATGAAAACAAGACGTGCTGCTGCATTCTGAATCATCTGCACAGATCTGATTGCACATGATGGAAGTCCAGCCAGAAGAGCATTGCAATAGTCCAGCCTAGAAATGACAAGCACCTGGACGAGAAGCTGCGTTGCATGCTCTGTTAGGAAGGGCCTGATCTTCCTGATGTTGTGTAGTGCAAACCTGCATGATCGAGTTGTTTTTGCAATATGATCTTGAAAGGTCAGCTGATCATCAAGGAAACTGTCTACAGGTATGCAGGCAGTTAAACTTCACTATTGCACATTAATTTACAGTATGTGCATTTACAGTGTACTTATACAAGAGGATATTTTGGCAGTGAGAGTTTCATGGGGCTCCTTCAGCATCAGGCATGAACGTGCACAGAAGAGAAACTTCCACCACACCACTGTCCTCAAGGAGTCCGCCAGGAGCTCCAATATAGAGCTGGAGGAAAACAACTAAACAGCATTTCTCTCAGAAGGTCATGTTTCTTACCCATTTTTTTAAGACAAGCAGCAAATGGCAGACTGGTCTGAAATCAGCATTTTAATGTTTGTTTTAGAAAAAACAAAAAAGTCCAGTTTCAAGATTAACCAAAAAACACAAGGAATCTTATATAATGAAAAACTACATCTTCTCTTTTATCTTTATTCTATCAAAATATCTTTAACTCAAAAAGCACCAACATTTTTTTCTGTATCAGAATACAGTCACAATCTCATAAGAAAAAAAAATGCAATCATAAGATGATGTAAATTATAATTAGTATGCAAGATTAGATAACAAATACTTGTAAAGCAGTAATTGTGTCATTGATATTTCCTCTTCACCACTCTGCCTCCCCCACAGCCTTAGAGAAAACATAGTCTTTCCCTCCATAACTCATGACTCCATCTTTCAAGTAAAACTTCCAGCGGTTTTTGCTACGGTGAATCTGTAAAACAAACAAAAAAAAACATTTAAAATATTATCGAAACTAGTGCTGTTTTAATGAACTGTAACTCTTAAAAGTGTTTTGTCAGGGAGATTTGTGCTAAAGGTATATGACTAAAATACAAACTTATAGAGATTTAGTACATTTACACATGCAGTTATTCTGGTAACACAGCAGGTGTTTGTGTAGTCGATCTAGTCTTCATCTGCTGACGTCAACATTCACAGATAATGAAAATGATACATTGCCTTTAGCATTTCTCAGTCATGTGGGTTCAGATAAAGTATAGCAGCTTCTACTCACGGTCAGAATCGTACACTAGATTTACGTCTGCGGCTGTTTGCACTAAGTGAAAACAGCAGTATTTTTTAAACGATATGCTATTTACACAGTGCAAATAACTATAGATTTTATTTAAACTGTTAAAATAACAGGATTTTTTTCTATTTATACTAATTATTGCAAATAGTGGCAATTATCTGCTCCTCAATATTGTAGTACATCATAAAACAGTATACAACAATAACATACTGAGAACTGATGTTTGACGAACGTCTTTTATAGTGTTGACTACCCCAATCACACATTGATGAGCAGAGTGTTAGTGTAGATAGCGGGCTGTTTGCACTAGGGCTATTAAAAAAATAAAATTTCGAATATTCGTCGAATTAAACAAACAAACAAAAAAAAAATCCACATTCGAATGCAAAAATTTTGCATTCGAATTTAAGGTCTGCGTCAGCTGTCAGGCAGCTTATCAGTGGCGCACAAGATGCGATGACGATGTATGTGTCATTGATTGCATTTGAATGCTTTTGTTAGCCTATCCAGTTGAACCCACTAGATGCGGCGCTGCTACGTTGTTCATTCAATATATAGCGAAAAACGAGAGCATCAGTGTGGAGAAGATGTTTTTAAATTCGTATATAATTCGAATTTTGATCATATTTAAATAGAAAATTCGAATTTAGTTTTTCAGTCATTTTGACGGCCCTAGTTTGCACTCAGTGTAAATAGACACTCCGAAACATTAAACTTCAGTATTTTAAAATATTAGTTTAAAATGATTATATGTTAAAATATTAGTATGTTTTGGCAATAAAATGTCAACCTATTTGCTGATCAACACATATTAAATGTCTTCATCCACTAATATTTGGTAACTACTAGTTACCAAACTAGTTGGTAACTAGTATAATGGATTCAGCTGGCCTTTTTCCCCAAACCATTCATTGAATATTTAACAAAGACACATTTAGAAAAACTATAAACAGAATCCAATGCTCTTAGTATCTTCTGAAAAACTCCACACAAAAATGCAATCAAAATCAAAAAACCTATTTGTGACAGAACTTGCTGTTGTCTCCAGATGGCTGTGAGTAAGATGTAGGCCAACTGTAAGACGGAAAAGACCCTGTGAGATGACCAACTATTATCCTTTAAAACACCTCAGCATGTGTGATGTCAAGGCTACAGGTCTATGATTATTAAGACTAATACTAACATCAGGTTTTTTTTAGTAACTGGAATAAGACAATTCCACATTTTCATGTGGAACACCATCAGTGGCTGCTGCTTTATTAGTCTTCATCTGTTTAACTGCAGTCAAACCTCGTCAACAGTAATGCCAACAGATGTGAGGATGCTCTCATGAGAAAGATTCATCAAATCATTTGCCTCATTCATCCCAGCCCCATAAACGTGTCAGTTTCTCAATGTGACGCTGTGTCTCCATCAGCCAATATATGAACCCATAAGAGCAAAGTCCTTGCACACAGAGTCCGAAATTTTTGTGTGCGTTTTTTCGTATTCGTCATCCTAAAAATCAGACACGCACAGAAACCTTAATTAATCGAATTAAGCGAATTAATCCCTTGCGAAAAGATTTCACAAAACAATACAAAATGGAGTCATCAAACAGTGAGAATGATTTTGTTGTCCTCTCTCTTCTTAAAAAGAGAAAAAGAAAGGAAATATTGGGTCCATCTAATCCTGATATATAGAGAGGAAGGAGAGTTCTGTGGGATTATCATGGGATTATCACGGGCGATTCGAAGTTTACTTCAGGATGTCAGTAAACGTTAATGCATTGCTAGCATACTGGAACCACATATTAAAAAGACGACCACCAATTTCTGTGAACTCAGTGTGCAAGGATCTTTACAGTGCTTTGTGCTGCGAGACGAAGTGGATTTTGGCGTTTGTTTGTACAGTGGCTCTGAATTGTCAAAACACCTCTCAAAATGCTCACTACGGATGCGAAAAACGCAGAAAAATCGAACCTAATCCGAATTTTTTAATGACGGATGAAAGTTTTGGAGGCAGTGTGTAAACCTGATTGACACAAGGTGAGGTCGTATTTTTTTAACGTGCGAAAATTTCAGGGTGGTTTAATCTTTATCCAGTATATTCTACAGGCTGATCTCTTTCACCTCATTCAGAAGCCTCTTCTCTTTCCTTTACCTTGTCATACTGGCACACAATGACGTTCTCCGTGTCAAAGATCTCTGGGATGTCCTGTTCGCTCACGTCATCTCCAGAGTTCAGCGGATCCTGAAACAGACGCATTCATTAAACTGCATCAGATTTTCACGAGCAGGTGACTGAAACAGTGCCAGACTCGCCGACAGCGGGGTGAAAATCATGATCCAGCCCCATTTCTGGAATAACTACTGAGGCCGGGATCTTATAAAGTGGTTCCCTTTCATGGGAACTTCGAACTGCGTCCTCTAGGGGTCGCTATGGGGAACGCCTCGTCGTGACCCGTGTCTGAAGCATACATTGAAAAAACAATAAACTAGTAAAAAAAAAAAAAAAAAGACGATTTCATGGTTCTTTTATGTAACTTGTAACAATATTTAACTAGTATGTATTTTTAGTATGCTGAAAAAAATTCAAATAAAGCCTGTGTGTGATTATTACTTTTGATTCGCTCGAGTTAATGCTGTTTGTTGTCTGTGATCCTGCATGTTGAACAGCATACAACTGACCAGTCCACATCTTCGGCAAGTTTCAATGTATATTTGTACCCATCATAATGCAGTACACAAAGAAACACTAATGCACAAATGCAGACATGTTCATATTTCTGAAATATATAAAAGGTATAAACTACTCAATGATTTAACTTTATTTAAAATATACTCTGCAGGCACAATAAACTACTGTAAAATGGTTTTACATCTCTCAACAGAAAGGTTTCTGCATGGTTTAATAAATTATAAAAGCATAATAGGATCGATTTAAAGGGGTCCTATTATGCTTTTTCACTTTTTGAATTTTAGTCAGTGTGTAGTGTGTATGTTTGGGCATAGATCCTGCTTTTTTAAGGTCTACAAAGTTCCAAATCTCAAAGTCCACTCCAAAGGGAGATATTTCGTTTTTAAAAAATCCCTTTTCAAGAACTACAGCGAACGGCTCGTTTGGACTACAGCGTTGTTTTCTGGGTTTGTGATGTCACAAAACGGCCCATTAGAATATAATTAAAATAAATCCCGCCTACGGAAATTTGAATGGTTGGGGGGTGGGGAGGGGCGAGGTCGTGGGTTGAGTGCATCAGACAAGACGACGATGAAGAAGTGCTGCTGTAGCGTCAAGTTTTCGCAAGTTATTACACATGCACCTGAATAATTATTTGTGTAAATATGAATGTTACAATTATGAAAACGTTTTATAAATTGCTGACAGTACAATACTGGACAATTATGTAATCTGCAGAATTTACACTTCAATTATGACACTACAGTGTTTCTCATACATTGATTTATTTGTGGCGTCCGCTGCAATATGAAAACTGACCGCCACAAATAGATTTTCCAAAAGGCTTTGACTTCGTTGAATAAACATGAGCACTGCACGTTTCAAAATTGAAACCCGGTGCGGGTGTTTTTATATCACTGTATTTCTGAAGGAAATTTTGGATGTCATTTTCGTTTAATCTTGCATGTAATGTCTGATAAAGCAGTGTTTTTTTGAGCGGAGCGCTGCTTTGTGTACAGCCGTTACCGGGGAAACCTCGATCTCTACCACTCCAACAGCGCCTCCTGCTGGCAGATAATGAGTTTGCATATATATGCCGCCACAAATAGAGTGCAAGTCTGTGGGAAACACTGGACTATGGTATAAATAAATTCAACTGTATAACAGTTTCACTGCAATTCATGTTATAATGTTAGAATTAAAGAACAATAAACACAAACATACATATTACCGTTGCATTATCTGTACATAGTAAATGCCGTTATTTAAGCGGTTGTTGACATCGTATCTAAAACGTGATTTAGCCCCCAAAAAAAACAATAACGTTACCACTCTATATCAGTGCGTGCAAAAGTTCTGCGCGATCCTCTTGCTCAATATTCTCGGGGTCTGAATCCAGCTCAAATTGATATGGCAATATATACATCCTTAACTAAACCGGAGCAGACATAACTTGCTGCTTTGGCAAGGGGCGGGGCATTAAGCATCTAAGCTGTTCGCCAATCACAACGCACTGGGACAGCTAACCAATCACAACACATTTAGTTTTTCGGAAGGCGGGCCTTCATCAAACCCGGAACTAATCGAACCATTTGTGTCAGGCTGGGGAGAAAGGTATTGTAATAACGTAAATTATGTGAAAAATAATGCAATTTTCGAACCACCAGGCATGAGCGCATGTTCTAGTACACCCCCAAAACAAAATCAAGACTTTGTAAAAGAGCATAATAGGACCCCTTTAACAGTACTAGCCATAACAGCATATTTCCAGTGTGTGTATAATATCAGCACTCTGAATCCTCTGAAACTCTTCATTCTGTGGTTCAACATCCGCTCCAGTCACCAAGATTTGAGTCTGATCAACCAACATTGTAGGACAAATAATTCTAAGCAAAAATGTTAAACTGCTGTCTGTTGTGGGCACTAGGGCTGGGTGATGTACTGGCTGACGTGATGAACCAGTAGAAATGTGTCAACCAGTAGAGATTTTGGACTGTCTCAATCACAGGTAATCTCCTGTGATATTATAGTGCTGCATCCTCAGAAATGTTTACCATTTGCATGTTTTTAAGCCTTGAGATTTAAAACAAAGCTATTTTAAATTGATCAAGTGCAATAAGCTCAGTTCAGTGTTTGTGCAGTTTCCGTGTTCACTCTCACAAAGGATGAGCACATACAGCTCAGCTCTCTCATGGCTCATACACACACACAAACATGTCAAAATATCCATCCTGGCAGCTATTCATATAAATACAGTCAGAGGTGGAAAGTAACTAATTACAAATACTTTCGTTACAGTACTTGAGTACATTTTTTAATTTTTTCTACTTGTGAGTATAATTAAATTGTGGTACTTTTACTTGAGTAGAATAAAACTAAAGTATTCAACTCCGCTACATTTATTTTTCACGAAAAGATAGACAAAAGCGCCGCCGATGGAGAAACAGAGCAAGCCGGCGTTTGACGGGCACTTTTTAAACTCCTGGGGTGGAGCCCTGCGCAGGTCTGACTAGGGTGCAAAACCAATTAAAACTTCTAGTTCAGCTGCGGGGGCAGGGCGTTCAAACCGCGTTTTGCTTTGACTGTCAATCACCGGCATTGGCGTTTTGAATCAGCATCGTTAGAGCTTCAATATTTTACTGAATGTGAGCTATGCTCTGATTTTAAATCGTGATTTTGTCAGCTCCTGAAATGTGTCATACCGTTGATATTACCAGAGCACACAGCAGTATAAGTAAATAGAAAACTCGGTTGATAGAAGGACAGTTATTGCATGGATGGAGCAAGAACAATGTAAGTGTCTAAAATACATGCACACAGTTCACTTGAATGGTAAAAATCGCCCTTTTTAACAGTGCGGTTAAACTAAATGTACGAAGCTAAAATAACCTCAACATTAACAACAACATTGAAATAAGAGTGCATGCATTTTAACGTGCATCTGGCTGATAGATCAACCACGATTTATCTGTCAATCAGATGCATTTAAAATCACTTTTTCTGTGTGCGTGCTTTGGATGTGTGCGCACATGGGTGAAGAAAAAAGATAATCTATGTATGACTGGACGATTTATTCATATCCAAAACAAGACGATGTGAACATTACAGAGTGCTAAGCACTCTCAAGCAGTGTATGTTTCATTCATACTCGAAGCCGGAGGGCGCTGTCACGCAGAAAGCCTAAAACGGCCTAGTAGAAGTAATATACTGTATAGTAACTTATGAAGTGCAGGAAATCCCTAATATGGACAAAGGCATCCCGCTATTGCTGTAGCTGCAGGAAATCCCTAATATGGACAAAGGCATCCCGCTGTAGCTAAAAAAGGTAATTTCAGGTCATTTCGAGGTAATAAATATAGTATATGAATAATGCAGTGCTAATTGACATAACATTTATTACAGTATAAAAACTATTCTGCCTTATGTGTTTGTATAAACCAATCCTAAAATAGTCATTAGGAAAATACAGGGGGAAAAAAAATATATAGAATACAAATTATTGGTTATCATCCAACAGTGTAGGCCTGTTTGATTTCTTAGCCAATTAAAAGACATAAGAAAAAGCAAAGCCTTTCAATTAGACAAAAGTCAAGTGCTTTTTTTTTTTACATTTCTGTCCCCCTCATTTCTGAAATGATGGCTACGCCCCTATGTGTGCAGGACAGAAAACAGCGTGCCAGTCGTCCCCTGCTTGAATGGTTTAAAGTCATATTAAAATGCACACAAAGGAATCGATAAAAGGGAATCAATTTTAATTTTATAACAAGTAGGTGATTTCTGATCTTAAGCATTCTATTCCAGAATTGGAATAGATTTTGGATTCCCAAGCCTAGGAATGGGTTAACATGTTAAATAAAATGCTCTTTTTTTTTGTCCTACCGAAAATGTGCCTGGAGTCCACCTTTGTTAGAATCAGAAAGATCTTTATTGCCAAATGTGTTCACACACACACACAAGGAATTTGTCGGTGTTAGGAGTACAGAAAATACAAACAAAGTGCAGACATACATAAAATGAGAGAATAGACAATAAATTATCAATAACAATAGTAATAAAAATATACAGAAAAAGGAAAAATGTCCATAGACACAATTGTGAATGTGCATATGTGCTATTTACAGATGAAGGTTTAATGAGTAATTTACAGATGTGCAGTACTGAGGTGTGTTACGTGTTGTTCAGGTGCGATATGGCCTGAGGGAAAAGCGGTTCTTGTGTCTGGCTGTTCTGGTGCACAGTGCTCTGTAGCGCTGGCCAGAGGGCAACAGTTCAAAGAGAGAGTGGGCTGGGTGTGAGGGGTCCAGAGTTATTTTCTTAGCCCTTTTCCTCACTCTGGAGATGTAAAGTACTTGGAGGTTGTGTAGAGGGGCACCAAGAATCCTCTCAGCAGTCCTGATTGTCCGTTGTAGTCTCTTGATGTCTGATTTGGTAGCTGAACCAAACCAGACAGTTATGGATGAACACATGACAGACTCAATGATGGCCGAGTAGAACTGTTTCAGCAGCTCCTGTGGCAGGTTGAACTTCCTCAGCTGGCAGGTGATTTTTTTAGCCCTTTTCCTCACTCTGGAGAT